AAAAGACGAGTTTTGTTTGTACAATGTTGCATCCCATTAATGACTGACATTACGAAAAAAAGTTACGGTCAAAAGTTCCTGCGTGCCGTCAGTTATTTACCTGGCTCGTTTCGAACTGATAATTACAATCTGTATGAAGAAGGCTATGATCTCATATTTCCAAATCAAGAAAATGCCTCATATTTTATTATTGTGAGTGGAAGTTATAGGCCTGTAAACGAGCTGAGCCGAGGTTGAGCACTCTCGAGCCTTAATCAGCTGAGTCGAACTTGAAATCGAGCTCGAGCTTGTCTCGTTTATCTCTAATAATAAGCTGAGTTCGAGCTTTAACTACTTAAACTATAAAATATTAAAAATTATCTTTTCCAGTCTTAACGAACCTTATTGAGCCGAGCTCAACTTGTTAACCTAATTAGCTTTAAATGAGTTTGAGCTCAGCTTGTTTATCAAATTAGCCGAGCCAAACTTGAACCGAGTCGAACCAGACTCGTTTAATTTAATATCCCTAGCGAAAGTTAGGATTTTGAATTACTTGAGAGTCGGGATTAATGAAATTGCGATGTTCAATTATTTTCTAGAAATTCAAAATTGACGAGTATATTACTGTTATCAATTTTTTGACCAACTCCTGTTCAATGTGAACGACCATCAAATTTGCTAAATGACAACATTAACCAAATAGGTATTGTTATAGGTACATAATAGTGTACATAGATGTATACATAACACTCACATTAAGTGGGTCCTACTAAAAATAAAAATTCAAATAAACCCCATCCATGTGAGTGTTATGTACATTTATTATGTACTTGTAACATTTTTCTAACCAAATCCATTCTCATAATCCTATTATGATTCATGTTCAAAGTTATATTTGATCGAATTCTTCTTTGTACATTCATCAAATAAGGGACATGCATAATTTAAAGTAGCATATTTCTAGCTTTTTCAATAAAAATGATTAATGCTAAAGCTAGCAACTTTTTTATATGTAGTTGAAGCCCATGAGTGGCTCCCGCTTGATTGTGACCGATCCACAAAATCGGGTTCAAGCCCGACTCAATTTTTTTAGGAAGAATATAATATTAACTATTTATGTGAAAAGTATTATCATGTAACAAGAGTTGAAAGATGTAGAGGAATAAAATGTGGGCATAAATAAACTACAATGTACAAGACTCCATTTTATATCTACAGTATGAAAAGTTATATATGCTTCATTTTTTTAACGGTGTGAAAATATATGACCAGAGTTTAAATTACCGCGTTAATTAAAATGAAAAAACTCATAAATACTTTGAAAATACAACGGAAATCATAAAAAAAAATGTTCTGTAAATTAAAGAAATGAAAATATCCGTACAGTACAGGTTGGAATTTGGGAAAAGGAAAATTTTTTCCCCTTATACATTTCACATGATTTGTCCTCCGTGAAGAAGTGTCGCATCACTCGCTATATATGTTGAAAATTCAAAATCCTGGGTGAAAATATTCTGTTTGTACAATGCAATACTACTGACATTAACGGCCGATAAATAGTAAAATACCGCCTCTTAAAATATAAACTTAATGAAATTTTAATCCGGCAATTATTGCTATTGATAACAATGGGTCGGATTGAGCCGGCTTTTTCGGACTATGGCCTGCCACCCACCCTCATATGTGACTCACGCGGGCCCGCAACCTGGCTAGCTCCGACCCAATTTTTTTTTTTTTTTAATAAAAACTTAATAAATATATTATATTATAAAATTGTAATTTGTAAATAGTTATTAAAATATAAACAATTTTATATATGAATCTCATATTATACTTCTTCGAGATTAAAGTTGCCACAAAAACAATCACAAGAAATATACANCAAAGAAAAAGGAACCTGAAAATAAATTTCCGTTGTTAATAAAAATCACTTATACGCATTAATAACTCATATCTCAGCCAGCATCAACACTTTGGCAGATCCGACGGCGGAGGGGGCAGCTTCTGATTGGGCATCTCACCGTTCAAAACTATCCACGCCATCTTCAAACCCCAGCTCAGGTGCACCTCAAAATGACAGTGCATGAACCAAACCCCTACACATTCAAACCAAAACTTCAGTAACACAAGGAAAAAAAAATGAATACTCCCTCCATTTTTTTAATAAAATTTTTTAATAAGTGTTGTTTTGAAAAGTTGTACAATAATTATTTTTTTCTTCCAATAATAACCCTCGTTAATGAGGATGAGATTGATGTTATGAGAAAAGATAAAGAGTGAATATGAAAAGACGCTGTGTATTTATTATCTATATGAGGGTAATAATGGAAAAATATGTACAAAAGATTCAAAACGTCATTTATTTGGTTAATTGTTGATAAAACGAAAATGACATTTAAAAAAAATGAAAGTAGTACTTGATAATTAATTTAATTAATCAACCTGGATTATCCGCCCTGAACCGGATCGCGACCCACCCGCCCGACGGCACCCCGACCGTGTTCCTCTCAACCGGGTCAACCAAATTGAACCGGGCCGGGTCCTTACTCGAGTCGAAGTTCCCGAACCCTTCCCCCACGACAAAGAAGTTGTAGCCGTGGAGGTGCAACGGGTGGCTCTCGGCCCCGAGAATGCTCGTCCCTTGCAAAACCACCTCCACGGTCGCGTTAAACGGCACCACCACGACCTTCGTCCCGTTCGAGACCATCGTGTTGTTCGGCGGTTTTCCCGTGTAGTCAAACGGCCTCTCGGGCTTGCTCGGGAAATCCGTAGTGTACACACTCGCGGACCGTCCTGTGTAGTAGGACTCGAGAATCGACCGTGTGGGGTTCGCGAACGAGACGTTGTTGACCGAGGCCGCGAATTTCGTCCCGTTTGGCCCCTGACATGTGGCGTTCGCCGGGCAAGGGGTGCTCCCGAGCCCCACCGTGAAGAAAAACTTTCGATCGACAGTCTTGGGGACGTTCGCCGGGAAACGGGCGTTGGCGAGGCTTCGGAGCCGGCTTGTGAAGTTTGAGACGAAGGAGGTGCCGTTGATCGGCGGTAGAATCGGGATTTTCGATAAAATATTGGCTGCGGTGGGGGGTTTCGAGAGTTTGTAATTGTATTCAAGGATGCCGAGGACGGTGGAGTTGTCGAACGTACCCTGCCCGGTGAAGTAGGGTCGCGCTGCCATTGGGTAGGTGGCGTTTGTGGGGTGGGGTTTGGTGCGGAGGAGGACGTTGGTGGTCTGACCTGGCGCGATGAAGAGGATGTCCGTGTCGAAGGGCTTCACGTAGACGGCGTCGGCCTCCACGACAGTGACGGTGTGGCCGGCAATGCAGAAGAAGAGCTCGTCGTTCAGGGCAGCGTTGATCAGACGGAGGAGGTACGTTTTCCCAGGTTTGACCTTCAACTTGAATGTCTCTGCAAACCAAAACCATTAATTGGTGCTTTTGGATAAATGGACAAGAGACAAGTTCTATGACATTCGATAGTATAAATATAAATAGAGAGATGTGTTCCGGTGAGAATGGATATATTGTAGCTATCAGATAGGATAATCCAACAGCAAAAAAAAGACAAATTTGACACACATTAAGGGCATTATGGACATTTTCTCCATTCTACCCACCCTCCACACTATCTGCGGGGTCACCAGATTATGTAGTACACGAGTATCATACTAATATATATCTATATATGGAATTACCGTTGGGAGAACAAATGTTGTAGGTCGGACCAGGGAGCCCGTTGATGGTGTATGCATCCGAGACGTTGGGTCCCCCTCCCGTCTGGAGAGCTTGGTTGATGACGGCCTCCGTGTCAGCGTTCCACCACTCTCCTGTTCGATACACATATTTCACATTTGATTTAAAACATCTGTCGTTTCTTATATATGTATACGTGTAACGAAATAAGAATGAGATTTCGGAATAGGAACTTAACCGAAGATGATGGGGACCTCCTTGTGGGGTTTTGGGAACGGGTAAGGCGCGTTTTTGGCGGGAAGGATGATGATGGGTCCATAAAGTGTGGCTCTCAACCACGAGGCGTGGGCGTGCCAGAACAGAGTTCCTCTCTGCCCTGTAATCGTGAAGTTGTACACGTATGTCTTGTTATATTTCTGGTATAAAAATTACACGGGAATCCTACGAACTGATATGTATTTTTTCAGTTCTTACAATTAATCTAAAAATATAAAATTATAATCGAACTGAAAAATAAATTACAAATGAAAAATAAATTAAAAAAAAAATTAAAAATCAAAATGGAAAGATTTTAGCCGAGGCGAGTAAAACTCTTTCCGCAAGAAGAATACGCCCCGTGTGGCAGCTAACGGTTTAGGCGTAACTTCCCCAAAGATACAACGGCAAACGTCTCTAAATCTGTAGCACACCAGATTTACGAGCTCCGGCGAACTGGAACGGAGTCGAGAATTGAGCACTATATACAAAAATAAAAATATATTATTTTTTTTTTTTTTTTTCTTC